TCATGGGTTCTCTTCCAACAAGTATTCAGCCTTATGGTCAGGATGAATATGGCTCCTAATGAGATATAGGGCTGTGTATACATGTTTATCTTCAAGTGGTGCAACACCCTCTTCGGGTGGTAACACAGCTCGATAAAGTCCACGGGACGCAAGACTAACCTTTACGTCCACAGCCCATGTGGAATAATTGTGGCCGTCTAGAGCAATCAAATCAAACTCTTTGATGGTCATTGATCCTCCACAAGACAAACCATCAAAACATTTTAAGTTATTAAAATGTTGTGGTGTGTTGTAATTATGGGATGCAAAATAGAGATAAGATAAATCTTGTATTATTAATGCTATAAAGATCTCATGTGCATAATGAAATAATGGAGGTAGTCACCATAAAAGTGTAGACCTCAAATTGGGCATAGTCTGTATTAACAGTAGATGCCAAGTAATTATGCAAGTTGTATAAACACGTATTAAGGTAGTCATCAAGAATGATTTAGACCTTAGTCAATTTGCAAACGAATTGGGTACGCACGTTGAGGATAGTAACTAAGTTGTGGACTTAGTGTAGATCCAACAGTAGCAACTATGGTGCTACCTTGTGTATGGCCAATAGAAATGCGAATTAATGGTAGTCATCTTTATGAAAAGATGTAGACCAAATGTTCTTATTTATGATGTTGGGTACGCATGTTGAGGATAGTCACTGAGTATTTACTTAGTGTAGATCCCACGGTAGCAACAGTGGTGCTACCTTGTGTATGGCTAACAAACAAATAGGGAACATGCGCGTTATACAATTGATGAGAAAATATACATAAAATATCACATCCATTATTTAAGCGCGTAGTGCTTTAAAGTCAAAAAGCATAAAAGGGGCTTAAATAAAATGATCGATTGCAAAAGTGATTAATGAATAAATAATTTGCAACATCATGGTCATAATAACAAGGATATTATTTATTGGATTTGCCATACATACGGGGACAAATACTTTGAATAATATCATAAATGGATATTTTACAATGATAAAATATCACAAGTACAACTATAGTTAAAGTCAGCGACTAAACATAAGAGTACTTAATTTTACAGCACATAATTATAAGAGACTAACATAGTCATTGATGAATTAATCTTTGAAAAATAAATAAAATAGATAAGAAAGCCAGGCCAAAGAAAAGCCATTTCCATTTTGGGCCCATCTGGTCTAGTCGGCATGCACAGGGGGAGAGAGGAGGGTAGGTAGGGCACCGGCCTTGGGCGGCCCATCGTCATGTGTGAAGCCCATAAAAGAGGGGTCGGTCGGCAGTTAGGGTTTCAGCCCCTAACTACACGCCGCCGCTGCCATCTCGGAGGCCGCCGCCGCTGGTAGTCTCCTCGCCACCGCGCTCCATCTTGTGCTTTGCTCGCCTTTGTCTTTGGCCGCCATCGCCGCCATCTTCAGTTGGAAGAGGACTCCCCCTCGTCGGGGGAGTAGAAGCCACCACCATTGACCGCCATGTTCAGGACCTCCGCGCTCGGGAGGCCGAGATCCACCGGATTCTAGGCGCCGGTGCGACGGAGGCCGGGGCGCCTGTCCACTGCCGCCGTCTTGCGGCCGAGGAGGCGTCGGAGCGTCGGGGTCGGTAGCGTCTCGGCGGAGGAGGACTCAGGAGGGCCTTCGCCTTCATGCAAGCAGCGGCTTCCACGTGAGTCGCGATCGGAAAACTCGGTGTCGAGGTCGCCTTCGGAGGAGGAGCCGAGGGGCCAGCCGCATTGAGGAAGGTGTACGGCGGGACGCCGGTCCTGGCCACGCGCGTGCCGCTGGGGTTGAAGAGGTTGCCGACGCCGGGGGCAGCCACCATGTCCTTGTCCTCGGTCTTCACTTGCTAGAGCATCGGCGCGGCGATGGTGTTGAAGATCTAAGGATTGAGGACGCCGCCGAGCATGCCACTGTCAGCCGCCACTTGAGTCGGATCAATCGGTGTGGGCGATGGCAGCGTGTAGTTGTACTCCAGCGTGTGTGGCATCAGCGCGTACTCCTTGCAAAAGTCACACCAGTAGCAAGGTGGTGCCGGTGCTGGCGACATCGGCTCCATGGGGACGTACGCAGGTATAGCGACGGGCTCGACAACCACTTCATCAACGGGCGGCGCCAGGGCTTCAACCGCTGGAGGTGCCGGGGCTTCAACCGCTGGAGGCACCGTCCAAGCCAAGGCGAGGAGATGGTGGCTGGCTCTGCAGACGAAGACCGCGCGGAGGAGAAGCATGGCGGCCACGAACAGGAGTCCATCGACGACGAGGAACTGCATTGGAACGGAAGCCACGAACAGCGGAGTCGAAGAGGCGGCCAAAAGGACCATGGCCATGACCATGGGAAATGTTGCGGCGAACACGAGGCCCAAGGTGCTCGAAGACGCTGCGGCATTGTCCATGGTGGCCGTGGTGGCGGATCGGGCCACGATGAACTCCACCGACGTGGCGAAGGGCGAAGAACAGTTGACGAACAACATGTGACGGTAAGTCGATCCTTGCCATGCTTACCGGTGGGGGTTCAGGGGCATGTGCCTCTGTCGTTCTCTTTCGCTTGTCCAGAAGAGCAACATGGCTGATAACGTGTTAAAAGTGAATGAAAATGAACAATGATTTGGAAACAACCGTTGTTTTCATTGATCTCTTAGATATATATAAGTGAAGGGATGTGTCCAAAGGACACAACGAGAAGTTACATTTCGTCATCAAAAGACATGCCCCTTCGGTGACACAGTTAATATAAATCTAATCTCTAATTCTATCTCTAACTGCACATCTAATTGGATGAGATCACTGATGAATAGATGTCTGTTGGCCGACACCGTTTCGTAACATATTGGCAGCCGGCATGGTCAAACAATGGGAGAGAGAAAAAAAAAAGTGCACTCCTATTTGTATGCGTCGAGATGAGGTGCCACATCGATGGAGTCAGGATGCAGATGGATAGGGAGGCAACGGAGAAGGACGACGCGCAGGGGCGGAATATGAGATACACGGTGCTAGCGAGGACGTCGAGGTCTTGGGCTACTTCCGCTCCCTCGTTTTGAAGGCTTACTAGTCTGACTTTTGTCTGCAACTAACCAATAAGCTAAACAATACGCGTCCTCTGCCACATTATCAAATCTGGCGCACATCAGGCAAAAAAAAAAAAACCTATTATAGAGCCAATGTTATGTACAGTTTGAATATTCATCCTAGCGACAGCAGCTAACAGTATCATGTAACAAAAATGTTTGGATCCATGGGACCCTCTGCCAAGTTCTTGCCATCTGGAGTGCCAGTGCCACGCACAGCCTCGGTATCCTTCTGTCAGTTCAGGACTCAGGAAGTCATTACAGGAGCCTGAGAAGTCATGGTGCCTGAAATTACACAGGGAAACCTATTAACTGTTAATGACGGATAGCTGGTATACTGGTACTGGTGCTAACCAAGGTTTTAAATCGCAGTTTTCACAGCTGTAAAAGCCAAGTTTAGAGATCAGCTATAGCGCAACTTTAGCCAACTATTTACAACATCGATGCTACCGCATAGCTGGTAAGAACCATTGCAGATATATGTTTTATATAATTGTAAATTATTCTCTAAGAAAGCAAACTACTGTGTTTCTGCTTTTGGAATCAGTTTAAAGCAGGAACTGGCTATGAAAATCTGATACATATTGGGAATGCATGCATCCTTACCAAGCCAATGAACCATTGGCACAGTATATGTTAATTATTAATCGAAACAATGGTATTCCATGCAGATCCATATTTTCACAAGGGTACAGTGTATGATCAGAGTTCATGTTATAAATAAAGCCTTGGGCAAAAAACAACACTATGGTACTAACAGCAATCAGGCTCAAAAATCATGCCGTAGTGTGTGACTGCATCTGTACGGTCATAACTATATGTGAAGCTGAGAAATCATCGCTGAACTCAGGTGTAAAGAAATTATCACGGTAAGAATTTATGTCTAGAGATGCACGACTACCATAACTAGCAATAGATGGTATAACACTTAACAGCAGCAAATAGTGTAGGTAATACAAAATAGTAAAGTTATCATGTGATAAACCACAGCGATCAGTTTGAAATAAGCTATATGGCTCTATGCCTGAAAAAAATTAAAGAAACTACAAGGATCTCTTCTCTCATCACATCTGTGAGCGTGTGACCCAGACACCACAGTTATCACCCTCCCTACACATAGTGACATAGCATATAGCACAGTACTTTCGTAGCAATGCAAAATAAACTTGAAGTGGTAGTTTTTTCTAATGAAACAACAGGGCTCTGATCTTGATTAAAAGAAGGGGTGAGAAAAAATCCTGATGTTACTGAGTTTGTGTATACAAAAATTATTAGAACGAGTGAGGAAAATGCATCATAGTTCACTAAATTTGATGGGTGTTTTGTTCAAGTCCTTCAAACAAGAAATCGTATTTAGGTCCCTAATCTTGTAAAGGAGTGTCAAGTCCAAACCCAACTTAAATTATTAACTATCAATTGCATTTCGCTGTTACCAAAAACATGTAATAGTCTGTCCACATTGAAAGATGTTCGGTTTTTCTATTTATTCTGCACGATGACCATTATTTATTCCGCACGATGACCATCGGTCAGAAAACAATATAGATAGATTGAAAACTCTAAAAAAAAGCAATATAGATTGAACCAAAGATGTTATGTCAAGACCAATTAAGCAAATTTTGAACCCCGTTGACAATTTAATACAGTTAAGGTGTGGGACTCAATTCTTCAAGAACCCAAGTGGCATACCCATGCAAGTTAACTCCAATACCTATATATATCAAAGTAAATAAGGAATAGCATTTCTCACAGAATATATGCATGGGCACAATTCTGAACTTAGAAAAATAAAAAGTCTTGAATGTTGGAACTTGGAGGATGATGGAAAAATTAAACGGGACACATAGCTACATGGATAAGAAAAGGCTGACACCTTACCTGAAGTTTAACTGAAATAATTGGAGCAATGAATATGCACTACCCTGCTCTTCGCGTAGGAGTTCTTAGCACTGGATTATCCTGCAACATGGCCATATGAGTCATTTTCAGACAGATATCCATAGATAAACTTCAAAGTCAAGAACCAAGATTGACTAGAAATACCTGCAACATTGGGTGGTAAACCCACTGATTCCCAAACCCATGTGGTTCTGCCTGCACCTAAAAAAACAAGGTGTCAAAAAAAAAATATTTGCAAACAAAGACGACTATACAAAATTATCAAGACATGGCCAATCGTATGACAGAAACCTGTATGAAATTGTTCTGCTGCATCCTTTGGTGGCTGGGCACTTGATGTTGGTGATTAATATCCATTCCAAAATGATTACCAAATGAGAGATTTGGTATTCCTTCCTGTGTAAGTTTGCAGCAAGACTTTTTAAAATATATGTAGTATTAATAGCAGCGGCAAACAAAAATAATAATGTGTACCATTAAATCAATGCCTCCTTGCACTCCCATGTGAGGACCTTCAAGATGGGAGGCAGAAGACGGCCCTTGGATCATATTTGTATTGTCTGTGACAAATGATGACCGTAGGAAATCCTGCTCAACAAGAATATCCATGAACAAAAGGTATATTCATATTATATCAACTGAAGTGTGGGTCTGAGGCTCATGAATATACTCTCGAGAAAAAAGGGAACTAAGACTGACCTGTTCTTTATTTGGCTGTGTTACGGTATCATCATTAGATTCTGTCACTTTCTTCGGTGGCCGACCACAGCGCTTTGCATGGGCTGACTGAGAATTCTTTACTCCCTCTGAAAACTGAGGATTAAAAAGGCCTTGACCATTTTCTGGTGCATCAGCCTCAAAGGAAAGAAGCATTGGCTGCCTGTCTCTAGCAGGCAGTCCATCATCCAGAAGAGATCTTTCCGCTTCTCTAAGTAACTTCAGAGCAACAAGGTACCTACTCTCAGATACAAACCCTAGATTGAGCAGCTGACTACATTGTGTGAACAAATAATCAGAGCGCTCAACAATGTCACTAAGGGGCATTTCATTAGGTTTCTTTGCATTAGAATATAATTTCTTATAGTCCCTTCTCCAGCGATCAAGAACATAATCTTTTGGGATCTCAAATATCTCCTGCAACTTCAACACAGACAGTGCATGTCTACACAGGATGCCAGTGAACTGAACGAAACCACATTCACACTCAATTTCAACTTTGGGCTCTTCTTTACAAAAGTAAACTTCATAGGTCCTGCTCTCTGTGTCCTTTCCATCTTCCATGTATGAGCATTCTTTCACTTCAAAAGTAACAAGTCGGCCATCAACTTTAATTGGCATACCATCGCAATACATCGTTGCTTTCAACTCATCTTGAAATTTTCTGAACATGTTTATTGTGTAGGCTTTGGCCAGCTGCTCTTCCATGTAGAATTTTGTTACAGTCAATGGAGACCTATGGGAAGATTCTTCATCTGCTTGCCATTCCTTCTTGTATTTGTTCTCTAATATCATCTCATATTTACTGAAAAATTGCTTCAAAGAAGTTTTTGGGTACACAAACCCATCATAGTACGAGGAAATAGACTCCCCACGCTGTGAAATAGACATCCCTGCCCAGAATTTATCTCTCAGATATGCAGGTGTCCAGAGTTGGCGATGCTCATAAAGGGAACTGAGGCACCCGTTTTCTCCAAGTCCATGTTCCTCGATAATCTTCTTCCAGTCCGTTTCAAACTCTGGGATCTTCAAAGACCCATATGTTACTTTCTTCAGTGCTTTCTTGATTGTTTTAAACTCTGCATGTTCTTTCAAGTTCTCTGCTACATCTTTCATAATACGATACAGGCAAAGGCGATGTCTAACTTCAGGGAGAACTTCTTGAACAGCATCTAAAATAGCATTGTAATGTTCAGTGATGATTGCCTTTGGGCAGAGACCCTTCATACATGATAAAAATGCTCTAAATAACCAAGCATAACTATCAGCACTTAGATCTGACAGTAAACCAGTACCAAACAGAACAGGCTGACCATGGTTATTCATCCCAGTGAAGAAAACAAGTGGCAAATCATATCTTTCTGTCAAGTATGAGGTATCAAAGTAAACAACATCATGACCAAAGTAATCATTCGCTGCCCGTGACCTAGCATCACTCCAGAATAAGTTCCTCAATCGGCCCTGATTATCCAAATCTACTAAGTAGAAGAAGTAAGGATTCTTGTTCTGCATATTCCCAAAAAACTTCTGGATATATTCATCGTCTCCTTCCCCAAATTTAAGCCTTCCTATCTCTGTGAAGTTACCTTGCTCTTTTTCAGCTGGAATGTTCCTGTGACCCTTCAGTCGTGAGGCAGATCCCCCATTCTTGGCATCTGTTAGCTTTTTATAACAATTAATGAGTGATGTAGAGAACTGGTTTAGTGGATGGTTGTGCTCGAGCTTAGCATCATCAATATGAAGCCATCTATCTTGCCTTAACTTCAAAGAGATCCTTGCTGGACAATTTATCTTGGTCGACTCTCTCGATAGATAGCACGCATTTGCTCTCCCTCTCCCAGCTCGACTACATCCAATCACCAACCTTCGGCACACCCCTGACTTTAAATACGATGACTTCAGAATGATCGCTGAAAACCCAGAATCCTCAGCATATTGTTTATAGTACTTGAGAGCATCATCATAAGTTTTGAATCTCAGCCCAACACGCGGTGCGTTCTCATCCACTTTACCCTCCCCACCATCTTCCTGCCCGCTGTCATTATCATCCACAAGTATCACCTCCTTGCCCTCATGCCGCAGCACCTCCTTGGGCGAAATCCCTCCCAAATCCTAGTGAACAAAGCAAAGCATTACAAGTTTCCATAGCAGTCAGCACCAAAAATAAATATTTAAACTAACCTAAACCTCTCTAACCTGGGGCACCTCAACTCTTTTCAGCACTGCGCCATTGCCATGTAACTCTGCGTCATTACCATGTAGCTCTGCGCCATTGCCATGTAGCTCTGCGCCATTCCCATCCACAATAATAGACACATCGGCGAGTGTTGCCTCCCTCGCCAACTCTTCTAACATGGGGGCGGGCACACCATGGGACATGAGGGTTCAGTTTAGCTGAACCCTAAAAATGGAAAAGTGCAACCACACCTGATTGACCTTGTGCCCTGAAGAAGAGGAAGAACAGATTCATACCATAAACTGAACGGGATTCAGTAAGCAGGCAAACCATGCAGCAATCAAATTAGCAAACAAAAGGCCGTCAGAATAAGACCAACCCTAGGGAAATCCCTCGAAGCAAGTCTTCTGGCGGCGCTGGCGACCTCCGGCTCGGCTGCGGGCGGCTGCGGGCTCCGAGTACTGGCGGCGAGCCAGACTGCGGGCCAGGGTCGGAGTCGCAGGGGTACGCGGCGATAACGGTGCAGAGGGCGGCTGCGGCGGAGGCGCGGGGGTCGGAGGGCGGCGGCGCTGGTCGCGGGGGTCGGAGGGCGGAGTCGCGGGGGTTCGGAGGGCGGCGGGATGCGAGAGGCGACGGCGAGAGGGTGCGGGAAGAGGATGGGATAAAGAAACGAGGGGCGTGTTTGGTTTGTTGGTCTGTGATATTTAACTTTTTACCGCACGTCTTTTAGATAACATTTTTAAAATTCTCCTACATATTTATCATCGGAAGAAAAAATCCATAACTTTAAGCTATTTTTTGTATACGTGGTAGGACACGTAGGGAAGCCAGCGTGTCTATGGGATGCGAAATAACTTTGTTACCCTCATCTATTTTTTTTTCATCCGTCTCATCCTCATCGCTTGGTAAAGATGTATCTCGGCTTACGCGCCTCTCAGCTCCCCCCTCCTCCTCCCTCTCAGACGCGAGCGAGCAGCAGAGAGATGAAGCCCGGCGGCCGCGAGGTCTGCGCGCACCCCCCCAGGCTAGCGTGCGCTGCTCGATGGCAAACGCAGACACGAGATCCATGTAGCGTGGGCTCTACCGTGGCGTGGCTCTGCTGCGTCGTCCCATCCCGGCGTGCCTCCCCATGGTCGGGACGCGTGAGGTCCATTGCTCCCCCATCCCCGACGGCCGCTCCTCCCCTTCCGCCGTATGAGCTCCTAGGTCCGACGAGGTGTCACCATGTTAAATCGCCGCCGGGAAGGCTGGCTCGCCCGATGCAAGCGGCGACCACGCACAAAGAGGCGCGACTTGGCTCGTGCGTGGTCGGGATGCACGTCCTCCACCGGCGAGGAAGTAGAGGAGCACGAGCACGAGGAGGCACGGGGCCGCCATGTTCGTCATTGGCGCCGAGGAGACCGTGCTCCTGTGTCTGCTCCAAGTGCCGCCATGTTTGTCGCCCGGCGTCGGCGCGTGGCCGTGGACCTCTGGTAGTGGCCTCGGCTACCTCGCCCTAACTTCCCCTATGTCCTGCCAGCCACCGCCATGGACCCCATCGTCGGCCATGGCGGAGCTCGAGCGAGGAAAGGATAGAGGTGGGAGAAATAGATGAGGGCAAAAATATCATTTTTGTTTATATTTGTTAGGTCGAGGCGTGCTACGTCGACAAAAATTGCAAGAATGTATTAAATGCTCTCTCTCGATGGTAAATATGTATGAGCAATTTTAAGGCCCCATTTGGCGAGAGCTTCACTTCACTAGTAAGCCATTTTTTTGCTTGACTCCACGAAAAATTCCACCGGTGAGTCAAGGCGGTTTTGCTCTCTCGTTTGGCAAAATGACTTCTGTGAGAGCATGTTTTTAGGGGACTGGAGGAGGAGCAGGAGAAGTACTTTTTTTTTTGCCCCATCCCACCCCAAATCATTGTGAAGAGAGGGGCTTCACCATCCGTTATTTAATGGTAAAATTTAAATAAAACGGCTCCCAATCGACTTAGAAATTTGGTGGAGAAGTCTGTCAAGCAGGGCCTAAGAGTACTATCTGAAGAGATGACATCCATTATAATGGTAAAAAGTTAAATATCCCAGCAAACGTAGCCTAGGCAGCCCAGGCCTGGCCCATGTAGCCAACCAGCGTTTGTTTGGTTGAGTGCGAATAGAGAAAATCGGAAATTTGCCCTCATGAGGGGTGGGAGTCACCCAAATGCCATCAATTTTGTGGGTTTCGCTGAATTGCTCTTATGAAACGAGTCCAACACACTGTAATGCCATTTTGAGTTTTAAGTCTACTTTAAAAATTCAGCTAAAATTTTAGCCTTCAAAGTGACCATTTTGCCCCGAGCTTGTTGACCCTGCCTCTCTCATCTCCCCTCGTTTCTCTCGCTCCCGTCGCCTCCCCTTCCTCTCTCCCTCCCCCCCTCTCGTTCTCTCGCTCCCGTCGCCTCTCCTTCCTCTCTCCCTCTCCCCCTCTCGTTCTCTCGCTCCCGTCGCCTCCCCTTCCTCTCTCCCTCCCCCTCTCTCTCGAGGAGGTGGTGGTGTGCTGTGGTGGCCCTCCCTCTCGCCTCTCCATCCGTCTTGATCTACCACCCGGGCCATGGCGTGGCTTGGCGCAGAGGCGAGGCGAGGAGGCATGGCCTTGCGAGCCGGTCGTCCTCATCTTTCCCCTCTCCTCTCTCTCCTGCTGTGGCGCTCATGGTGCTCGTGCCGTGTGTCGGTGGGTCTCGGCGGTGTTGTGAGTTGGCCTGAGCGATCTCAGTGCTCCGTTTCCTCTTGTATTTTAGGATTTTGCTTTTGCTCTCGATTCGTCCCTTGATGACTTGATTCGTGTTCTAGGGTTTAGCCTATAATGCCTGTTGTTCCAATATTTGCCTTCTCTGTGTTTATCTGTGAAAGGACGGCACCAATTGGCAATGACACTACCAATTCGTGTTCTAGGGATTGTGTCTGTGATTTTATTTTTGCAGCTTTTTTCTTAGTTTTTCCCTCCCCCGTTCTTGCTTTGATTCTTCATTTTGAGACCGATTTAGTTCGTTCTTTTTTGCTCAGATTCGTGCTATGACATGAGTTTATGCTACCCCTTAAGTGAATTTGATTGAATCGAGTCGAGCATGAAGAAATTGAACGAATTTCGTTTTGGGGAGTTTTTTGTGTTCTTAGCCGTGATCTAATTTTCCTGGAGTTTGGGTTGAAATTGGGCGATGATCTCTTAGAGTATGCTCACCAACTCCCTTGTGATGGCCTGTGAAAAGTTTGGTCGCGATTTGTTTTGATTTGGTCCAGTTTTTCGTTGATTTTGTGGTCCATGGGTTTCTGTTCTAGATTTCCAGTTCTTCGTTTCTTCACCTTGTTTCGTCGTGGGAGGCCGAGCAATAGAGCCACATGCTCGGCGCCCAGAAGAGCGGCCTTTCGGTCAGTGGGCACTTGCCCAAGCGCCTGAGTCCGGTGACCGGCCGCTCACCTAGTGCTCTACTTTCGTGGTGGCGGCTCCACCGCTCAAGCCCCTCTCTATCTCCCACCATCTCTCTCTGTGCCCGGCGGCGAGTAGCACCACCGCCCGCACTTCTCTCTCTGCTCACTTTCCCCCATCAATTCAACGAGCTCAGGGGCAAAATGGTCACTGAAGGCTAAAATTTTGGCTGATTTTTTTTAAAGTAGACTTAAAACTTAAAATGATATTATAATGTTGAACTCGTTTCATAGGGATATTTCACCGAAGCCCACAAAATTAATGGCATTTGAGCGAAGAGCGAAGCCCAAAATTCCGATTTTCTCGTGCGAATATGAGGCTGGCTGCGGCGAGTTCCTATTTAGTTAGTTGGTTTTGTCAGATAGAATCACCGCATCTAGACTTGGGTAAGTTTACCCGATAGAAGCAATTCGTCGAACACCTTCCGAGCGCAGCAGCAACTCCGCGTCACCTCCACCATCATCGCGAAGCATCAGCTCGAGCTCCTCTACCCTCATCACCGAAACCTCGAGCGACCACACCAGAGAGGAAAGCTCATTGCCGCAGCCGTCGTGAGGGCGCAGAGGAGGAGGAGCGCAAGGGGCGCGGAGGAGGAGCACTGCGAGGGCCGAAGGAGCAGCACGGCCCCAGAAGGAGGACAGCCTCGCACTGCAGTACCAGGAGGTGGCAGCGCTCTGCCTCGCCAACGATGTAGACGAGCTCTGCCTCGCCCACCTTGCAGACGGATCCAGCCAACCGACGCCGCAGAGCTGGACTACTCTGCTTCGGCGCAAGGACGCCTCCATCCGTTTTGGGGCAAAGACGCCACAGGTCAAGCTCCACCACCTCCCGCCGGAGCTGGACGAAGGCCGACGAGGATGAGGAAGGCTTCGTGGTGGTGGTGGTGGTGGCGTCTCGACGAACTCCGACCAAATGCGGTCGGCGCCAGCAGCGTCGGAGGCGGAGGATTTGGGGGATTGGGGTCCTGCTCGAGGTGGAGCTCGTCGGTGGGAGGTCAAGCGGCGTCAGGACGGGAACAGCGGGACGGGAGGTGGAGCTCGTCGGCGGGAGGTCAGGCGGCGTCAGGGCCGAAATGGCGGGGCGGGAGGTGGAGCACGTCGGCGGGAGGTCAGGCGGCATCAGGGCCGGAACGGTGGGGCAGGAGGTGGAGCTCGTCGGCGGGAGGTTAGGCGACGTCGGGGCGGGAGGTGACGAACTGCTGGTGCTCGGCGCGGGAGGTGAGCTGAGCAAGACGAACGCTAAGCCAAGCCTGGCTCCAGGCGTTTCCAGGAAGCCACCCTGGCCGTACAGATTGGGCTTGTGGAAGCCTGGCTAGCAGGCTTTACAGTAACCAAACGGACCCAGGTTGCATTATACAAGTCTGGCTAAGGGCTTAAGTTCTTGTTTAGTTGGACCCTAAAATCTAAAAACGTCCGAATGTTTGCGGATGGATGTCCAGAAAAGAAAAAAAAACTAATTGCAGTTTGGTGGGAAATAGATCATGATGTTTTTATGCTCTAATTAATCAATGTTTGGACACTTTTTGCCAAATAAAAGCGAATGTTCTATCTCACAAAATCCAAATTTTTTTTAACTAAACAAGGGCTAAGCTAGGGAACCAAACACACCCGAGATGTTCAGTAGTATGCAGTATATATCTAATGTTCGATGATATATTTTATGATGCTCACATAGTACACATGATGTTTTATTATGTATTTTAGTTGTTGTTGTCGTCGTCTTATGTCTTTTGGTGCAATGTTAACGTAGTATATATATGTTATGTCCTATAACGTATTTTGTTATGTTCACATTATACAAATGTGATGTTCTGTAATTATCTTTGAGTGAGATTTAATGAAAGAACATCTGTCTTATATCATGTATTTTGTTATGCTCTGAAATATTTTATTTTTTAAATTTAGAACATTTGTCTTTAGATGACCTAGAACATCGTATATAATTATAAAAAATATTCTATCTTCATCAAAAAAATTATTTAATATTTTTTAAATATACCAAGTGAGATCTTATTTTGGAGAATTTATCGTAAGAAACATCACAATGTAATTGTAATTTAAATTTATAATTTGGTTTAAGAAATACAACTTTTAAAACTTTGAAACACGATATGGATGATGTCAGCAAAAGTATTTACCTGCATGTGCCTTCTCTGTACACGCGTTGCTTAGCGGCCTGCTTTTTTTACGCGGCCCAAGTATAGTCTTTAGACCTACTATAACAAACCGTAAGCATTATTATTTTCTAGTCGGCGCGTGACTGGGTGCCACCCTGGTCAGCGCATATCAGCCCCCGATGATATCACCTTCCCAATCTAATCTAATGCTATATTTCCAAATCAAATGGATCCAAGATTTGCTCACTAAATTCCACATCAGCCCACCCAACTTACATAGATTAAGGTGAAATATGGACATCCAAACAAGCTCTAAAAGAAGAAGAAATTGATATAGATTCCGATAGATCTCCACTATACTAGCGTAGGTAGAAGGCTAGGTAGAGGAGGAGGGTGAGGCCTCCCGATGAGGAACGATTTTGGGCTTTCGGTGAAGTAGGCATGGCTTCAAATTGGTGACCAAACTAAGGTGGGTCGATGATGGCGGTGGGCCTAGAATTTACGATTACATTCTCATACAAAAGATAATTGAAATACAATTGATGAGGTTTATGTGATGGTTTGACTCAATGTGAAAAGGTTTTCATTTTCAACACAACCTGCGTAGTTTTCCAAATTATATTTTGAAAGATTTATAGTTCAACACAAAGAACTTCTCTGGTCTCTGAGTTTATTGACTTCTAGTGTATTTTAAAAAGAGAAAGAGAAATAGCTTAGAGCAACTTCAAGAGTCTCTTTATATCCTTTCTAATTTATTGGAATGGAAATTTTGGTGAAAACCCCTCTAATGGCCTCTTTAATTGGTTCTTTGAATATAGACATCATCTATTCTAGACTTTTTCGTTAGCCATGCAGAGCGAGGATGGCTCTCTAGAGTGCACACCAGATATAAAAAAGCTGGATATAAAGTTATAGAAAGCGACTTTTACTCAATTGACTCTCTAGTTGATGATTTAGAGAGAAAATTTTAAAATGACTCTTAGTGATGCTCTTAGAGCGTAAGATTACTTTAGAAACCAAAGCCACTATGGAGCGAGTATCCCTCCTAAATAGGACCTTAGAGTATCTCCAAGAGTTTCAAAACCCACTCAATCTTGATTTCTTTGGTAAGATTAAAAAACACTGCTCTCCAACAACTCCCTATCTTAAAGCATCTCAAAGAGCATTTCTAAATTCCACTATCTAAATCATCATTTAGAGAGTCATTTGCATAAAAATGATTTCTATATATTTTAACTCTCTTACATATTTTCTATATCTCATGCGCACTCTAGATAGTCATTCTCGTCTTCTATTTTTAGCTAGCGAAAAATCCAGAATAGAAGATGGCTATATTTGGATAATCATTCAGAGAAACTATTAGATGGTAGTTTTTCACCAAAATCTCTATTCCTAGAAATTAGGAAGGATACAGAGTGTGGTAGAATCGCCTAATCTAATACCTCACAGGAGTACTTGTTTTATATTAAACGCTAAGTACTTAAGGGAGGACACTAAATTACGCAATTCCGTCAAGCACACCCCAAGGGAGAACCTGAAAATCCATATTTTTTCATCAAGATCACAAATGAGAGAATAAAGCTTACAACCTTCTTAAGGCATTTCTTACGTGACTTTCCATGCAACACCAGAGTATAATATTTATGGTTTCTAACAGTGGAATATAACCATGCTATCAGAGTTTCAGCGGAAATAAAATCATTTAACGACAAGTTAAATATTAACATGATGATCTGTTATATACATCATAACATGTTATAAGTTTTTCATTGTAAAACATTTTGGGTGGAAGTTTTAAATAAACTCTATGTCCGCAACGTTAAGGAAATCCTCGCTGAGCCCACCAGGAGGTTTCCACACACAAGTGTCAGCTCCATATGTCCCTGTCACCTGCAACAGGGTAGAACAAACCCTGAGTACTCAATTATACTCCGCAAGACTTACCCGCTAGGAGGAAAGAAAAGACTTCAAGAATATACAAGGCTATCTGGCTTGTGGTTTATTGCATCTGCAGAAAGCATTACTAAACGTGCGTCCTTATATTCAATTTCATTAGCAGTCATCATTAGTTCATTAACTAACCATTCTATGTAAGCACCTGTGCTACTTTTCAAGTAGGTGGTAAGCAATCAAAACCATTTTACCATCTTTTATATTCTAGTTCTTACTACGGTGCTAGACTGTAGACAAGTCGTACCGGATTACCCAGCGATTCGTGAATCAATGTGCCCACCTGTGTACCCTGAAACACACGCCCCGCTTGTACTCCAAGCACAAGCAGGACCAACCCACCACTCTCCTATCAAGGGGTCCAGGTCCCTGTCCAAACTTGGACTCCAAGCCCTCACACCTGAGTCTCGGACTCGGTGTGGTGTTTAGACCTCCACCATTTCCGTCTCTAATCAGCCGATCCAGAAAGAGCCGGAACCCACGACAAGAGAGCAATGAGCCTTCCCTGCTCCCATAAACAAGTATGTGTTAAGGATAATAAGTATGTGACCTGACTAGAATCCAATGCAACGGACGGTCCTTAACCGACATAGGCGGAACAAGCGCAATCCGAGCCTCGCTCGAATGCCAAACCAAGTCCAGATCTAAGTACTATTCAGCCGGGTCTCCAATTATTATTCATATATTTTCTATGTGATAGTAATATAATAACAACAATAATATATTTCCTATCTCTCGCGAGTGACAGGCAATCACTCGACTTCTACCGGAGTCCTGTAGCATAGCAATATATACGATCCTGTCATACTAGTAAAACTCATAAGATAAGGATATATATATGCAAGTGGGTTTCATTCAACTCCTTAAACTTAATGCGATCGGCACATTTTTGTCATCCTTCAGATTCCAGTGTATTCATGTATACGAATGTTTGCAGCATCTTAATTCATACAGCAAACGGTGGGGCAGCAACACCCGATTGTTCTGAGACCTAGTTTACCTGTACTTTAGTTTTGATTCCGATCTTCTGGTAATTGTTCAGAGTTCCCGGCAGCTCAAAGTACAGTCAATTAGATTTCAGATCTGAAAGCGAGAGGTGCCATGTTAACTGTCCAATGCAAGTGCTAATCATGATTACTCCGTAAAGCAGCAACTAAGAGAATTGCGTATGTTTGCAGCCGTTACTCAGCTTAAGATGCTCACACACACAAAAAAAAAAAGGAGAAGACGCTCACACGTTAAACCAGATTGAGGAAGTTTTAAAAAATAATGATAAAAGATGCCTCCCATTAAAGCACATCAAGTCTGGTATAGCAATATATAACAAGGTGCAGAATAATAGGGGTTATGCACCGGGGCTTACCTAGGTAAAATATAACCAAGTTAGCTTTCATCTTGGTGGCATGATCATCAAGTCTCCATCTGCTTCCGCTACTCCCGATGACTTCCCGATCCAACATCGCTCCTATCATGAAATACGTGGATGCAACGCAGTGACGTAACTAATCAACGGCATCCGCAACTCTAAAATACAATTACGTCTCGCAAGCTAACGAGCTAGCTCTAGTGACTAACATGCTAAGCCATGTATCCACGTGGTCAAGTGAGGCTCATTTCCGGAAAAAATGTTTTCGTTCTACAAATCCCCAACTATTTTTTGACATTTGATTGATTAACTATATATTTTCGGACTATGGCTCATTTAGTTACCTTAACAAACTAATTCCTATGAGGCCACAAAAATTATAGTGAGCACCTAATATTGTTAGACATCTAATGTATAAATTTTAGTGCCAGTACTTATACCAATTCATCACAATAATTCCTACAATTTTTTGTTTGGACAATATTAAGTATCTCAAATTAATTATATAGCTCCTAAGAATATTATAAAACTTATGTGAACAAAATATACTAGTAGACGGATCATAATTTTAGGAACCTAACAAAATTGGTTTCATAATTTTTGGTCAGCTACACAAATTGATATTGAATTTATAAGTTTGTCTTAGAACTAAATTAGAAAATACTTGAGAAAATAAAAAGGGCCTGTGGCCAAACGGTTTGGCCCAGCAACCTAAACGGTCGTCACGGGGAGCCCGCGCGTGTAGCAGGCCGGCCCAACAAGTGGCCCGCGACGGGGAGCCCGTGCGCACCCTCACACCTTTTACAGAAAAACCCTCAACGTAACAGATTATCACGCGGCGTCACTGAGCACTATTACATAAGACAAGCTTTGCACTAAGGACCCCGGAATATTTAATAAACACTCGACAAGAGCATGGATCAATGATTGAAATGAGCACTGGATTCCAGCAAGACACGGCTGCATGTGCGTGATTGGTTAGCGTCCTGTTCGTTTGGTTTATAAGTCGTATCTTTTTCAGCTAACGAATAATATTTTTCTCTCAAAAAAAATAGTTAATAGTACTATCAGCCATGACTTTTGAGCTAAGCGAACAGGACAATATGTTTGTTTTGCTCGTTAACGACTACCACAGTAGATGAATAACAACATGAAGAAAAACACACCAGAAACCATGAGCGGCTAACGGTGACACCACACAAGTCTACGGAACTGACGATGCATCAAGCTCAAGCTGTGCCCGCAGGTTGCCTGGGGCCGTAGCCGCCGTGCCCGTACTGGGGAGGAGCAGGGTTAGCCATAGGCGGCGGGTAGGGCGGCGGAGGATACGGCTGCGCCCACTGCGGCTGTCCCATCGCGACGCCCAGCTCGATGAACTGGCCCAGCGCCGGCTCGTCCGTCCGCTGGAAGTTGACGTAGGCCGCGATGGCGTACCCGGTGGCGCCGGCGGATAAGATGGACGCCGTGAAGAAGATGTCGCTCTTGAGGTCGGTGCAGCCATAGTAGTAGGCGTGGTTGAAGCGCCAGCCCGACCTGCTCGTCGTCGAGAGGCCCCGCTTCATCGCCGCACCGTACAGGAACATCACCACCGCCATCGCCACCGCCGCCCTGACGAGACGAGGAGGCATAGACATGTACCGACCAATCACAACCAGATGTCTTCCAACAGGCAATTGAGCATCGGCCGCCTCGCGCAGAACGGCAGGCGCAAGGTGCTGCATGTGAGTTCACCACATGCGGTGGCTGGATCTAGGCGCGTACGTACCAGGTGTTTTTGCAATACTTGACGGCGACGGCGCGCCTACGGCCGGTCGCGGGCGCGTCGGGTCCGGACATTCGCCGGCCGCGGTGGCGAGGGACACCCCCGTTAGCGCGAGCAGCGCCGCGGCGACGCCGCTGCTGAGTGCTGGCTTGCGCTGGTACACGCAGTGCTGCTCGTCGAAGGACTCGAAGCTTACGAAACCCTGCGCGGCCGATCGATGGATGGATCGAAGTCGAAACAGGTACAAGCAGTGAGCCCGCTGCACAACTCAGATTCGAAGGGTAAGGCGGATGGAGTGTGTAGCTTGCCTTAGACTTCCTGCTCGCGACCATGGGCGGATCCAACGGTGTGTGTGTGTGTGTGTGTGTGTGTGTGTGTGTGTGGGGGGGGGGCTCGAGCCCCCCCCCATACCGGAGCTGTGGAAAACCCTATAGAGCCCCATTAATTTTTAGGTAAAGTTCTATAGTGTAGGAGGGCTGAAACTTAAAATCGAGCAGTACGTGTTGTTCAGTCCCCCTAAAATATTTTCTGGCCGCCGCTGCTCGCGATGACCCCAGGACGACCGCAGCGAGGCCGAGCACGGCCGCCGCGCTCACCAACACCACGCGTTTCTGCATCCTGCAATGTCACACCGCTCTACATCTCCAACAACAACGGATGGAATGGAAAGACAACGGGAGGCCACCAAATATGTGTTCAGCTAATCAGTTGCTACTCTACCACGAACGTCTGGTGTGAAAACAAACGGTGCAGTGCCCGCGCTCAGCTGCTGTACATACACGGCTGTGCCCTAGACTTCCAAAATCTTTGCCGCTGTTCACCTTTGGCTTGGCTGAATTGACTCTGAAAAGATGCGACAATGACGCAAGGCGTGCTGCAACCCTTCTGGTCATCTGGTCAATGCACTGTGCTCTTGCCTGTGCTGGCATGCTGCAGCTGGTCTGCGTCGGGCGCGGGCGTCGATGGACATGCCTGGAGGCCGAACGTGGCCGCGCCGAGCTCTGCGAGGTTGGCCCCGTTAGACTCGCTGAATTGGCTGAAAAACACGGTTTTAAGCTAAAATGTTGTGAGAGAAAAATACTGTTTCGAATTAAAAAAGAAGTTGAACAAGCTGGATATAAGGTAAGCCAAACGGCCGTTAAGAGCCACTTTTTTTTACCACAATGGAGTGAGTTAGCAACTAGGTGTAGCTTTGACTAAACTTTAACCTCGTCCACTAGTCCTTCTATTTGATCCTGAGTTAAGGTTTAGCAACTAGTAGTTAGTAAAAGAGATCAAACAGGGCCTTACCAAGTCAAATGGAGAACTAAATCCGACAAGATAGATTGGCCATGTGGCCACCATAACATGACATCGAAACATAAAGTATCCGTACAATATATATGGAGCCTTGAGCTAATTCGCCTCCTCCCTTCATCCCACTCTCAAGCTTGGTGCTAATTCGAGTGAGAGATTTGAAGATTGTATTTGATGACGCTAGAAAATATTTGTGATTTGTGGAGTTCTTATTATTTTTTGGTGTTTGTCAACACCTAGATGGTTTGGTAGATTGTAGTCTCCGTTGTGAAGCCCGTGTGGTGATTGTGAGTGGCTCTGGAGAAGGATTTATGAGGAGACGTAAAGAGCAACTCTAGTTGAGCGAGACGTGAAGAGCGTCAAATGTTCTAGCTGGGTCGAGCGCTAGAGTTCATGGTGAGCACTCCACATGGAAGAGTGTGACCGGTGGGTCACCACTAGCAAGAGCACCGCACGACAACCTTGAGCTTGTCTCAACGGGGAATAGGTGGTTGGCAAGTCACCGAACCTCGGAATAAAAATCACCGTGTCTACATTGTTCATCCCGTTGGTTTGTTTACTCCCAACACAAGCTTGTATTTATTCATTCATATATTGTGTTTGTATTGTTGCTCTTGTGTAGCTAGTTTGCTTGTGTAGCGAACTAGTAGCTCTCTTAAGTAACTAGTTGACTTGTGTAGCCTTGCTAGTTATATTGCTTAGCTTGTGTAGCTAAGTAATTGTTGAGATCTCTAGTTTACCTTGTGTAGTCTTGCTATCGAGTAGTGCTGGTGAGCTTAGGCTTTGTGCGCTTTGCATACTAGCATGTGTAAGCTTCCCGGTTGGTTGAGTACTGGTTGTAGAGGTTTGTGTGACATTGCAAACTAGAATTGTGTTAGTGAGTTGTACCTTGCCCGACACCTTTGTAAGGTGCTTGAAAACATAGTGTTGGGTTCATAAACCCGGGGTCCCTAATGGGCCTGCTTTCCAGCAAAAGCTCGACCCAGCAGACGACGTTGCGAAACGACGCGCAACTCTAGGGCCGGCCCAGGTACCTAAACGACAGGCCGGAAGAGTGATCCAGTCTCCGACCGGAAGGCCTGGACCAAGGAGGGGATGACGCTCGCTTTTGACTTCGACCCGCTTCTCTGACCGAGAGTACACCGAACCTCTGCTTACAGCTCTTCTTCGACAGGCGCGGTCGGAGCCGACTAGGAAACGACCGAATGGGGACGCCCGCTCGGTAAGGACCTAAAGAAATAGGCGGAGCAAGTAAGGCAGGGCGCTCAAGTCAATCGCAATACCGAGGACCATATCCTGCACACCTATAGGACAGTACTGTCGGGTCATGTCAGAAGGGTACTTTATAAGGTTCCAGACATGTCAGAACACAAACAGTGTTGTGGGTGCCGATATTTGTCCTATAGTATGGTAGGCGTCGATATTTGCCATACCAGAAGAACACGGTGGAACCTACCACATGCATCTGGCCGTCAACAGTATTGTGGGCGCCGACAAACCGTCTTATACCCGACGGTGTGAGCAACAAGACTAGTAGCACACACTCTCTCTCACTCACTCTCTCTCACTTGTAAGGCCATCCCCTTCATCTATAAAAGGGGATACGCCCTCTCCCAACAGGGGCAGACAACACACGACAACAAAGGACTAACAACAGATGGATCATTCTGACTCACTCTCTGCTAGCTTTAGACATTCTAAAGCTATACAGAGCATATGTTCCAATACATAGTGCATGTAGGAGCTCCCATCACTCTTGGCCCTTCGGCCCAGAGTCCGACCGGACTTCTAACACCTCCCATCTTACTCCCACTCGTTTGTAACCCCACATAGCAAACTTCGAGCACCTAGGCTCAGGAATAAAGTCATCGATCGACTCAAACTGGACGTAGGGCATGTTGGCTGAACTAGTATAAACCCTATGTCATTGAGTGCTAGGCCACATCCGATCACAACGTATGGCAAAACGACAAATATTTACTTATTGGTCACTTTTCGCACCGACAGTTGGCATCGTCCATGGGGAGGACGCCGTACGTTCACGCTTTTGATCATCGGATGGCCCACCTTTCCGCCATCTCCGTCATGGCGGGCTCGAGCGATATGATTCGCTTTGGTCTCGCTGGAGTTTCCCATACTCCCACCTGTTGGGATGTGGGTTCCTCCTGTCTTCGAGCCATCCTAGACCTTCCTCTTCGGAAGCTTGGACTTCGTCGTCGACTAGCTTGGTGTGCTTCGCCTTTGTGAGGAGGCACTTGTCCCGGCACCCGTCGGAGGAGGAGCGCCCTCCATCGACTCTCGGGCCACCCATCGACCACAACGACGAGGCGCCTGCGCTCCGCTCCGAGCCCACGCTTGGCTCAAACCTCACTAGGAGTAGCGTACATATTGTTCTTTACTCGCTATTTAATATCTTTCACCAACTCTCCGGAGAGACCCCGTTGTCCCCACCACGACCACCATGCAACCGGTTCCCCTATGGCCTCGCGTCCCCCATGGACATGTATGCAAGGGGGCTCCGATGGATGCTGACGCCGCCCCCCTCTCACATCTGAATTCATGGGAATGGTGGGCTATGCTCCCGCCTCTTTCCATGACCTCATGGATGACGAGGTTGAAAGCGATGGCTCCAGCATAAGCGATGTCATGGCACCTAGACACCATCTATCCTAGGAGTGCGCTATGGTGGACGCTCTAGGATAGCCGCCGGTGTTAGCAGAGTCCCTATAGACTCACACCCCTTCGGACCCTCACGTGGAGGCCCTCACGCGTGCGCAGGGGCACGACGAGGAGATACAACAAAGGCGGCAGAGCTACCGCCACTGCGCACCGCACTGCCAAGACGTAATTCAGCGAAGCGGTGCTCGGGTCACGCCCGCCAGTCAAAAAGAACATCATGGATGGTTGAACGATCCCCCATAGTTCGCTCGGGCTGGCCAGAACATTGCTGCTACGGTGATGCTTCTGCACGGCCTTCTAGATCCTGTCGACCCCGAGGAGCAGGCGGTCCACCAGAACCTCCGGGCGCTGGTGGAAACCACCGCCGTACAACAGGCAGAGAGCTTCACGCCGCGACACCGACTCACGGCCTCTCTCTGCACCGGGGGAATGGGGCGCACCAATCAAACCGCTCACCACTATAGTCGCCACGCGCAGCAGAACCCGATGAGCGTCGCCCGAGGTCGCGCCCGCTAGGTCCAGCGCAACATCATGGATGGGGGGAACGATCCCCCATAGTTTGCTCGAGCTGGCCAGAACATCGCCGCTGCAGTGATGCTTCTGCATGGCCTTCCAGAGCCTATCGACCCCCAGGAGCAGGCGGTCCACCAGAACCTCCAGGCATTGGTGGAAACCGCCACCGTACAACAGGCGGAGAGCTCCGCGTCATGACACCGACTCATGGCCTCTCTCCCCACTGGGGTAATGGGGGCGCACTAGTCAAACCGCTCCGTCTGCTCACCACTATAGTCGCCAGGTGCGGAACAGGAGGACATAGCTGCACCATGGCCTGACCCGGCGCCCGCTCCACATGGACCG